ATGCAGCCGGCTAGCGCAGTCGACATGATATTTCCGACGTTGAGCAGTCCGTGCTTGTCGAAGTAAGACGTAATGAATGGGTTGAGTGCGGCATCGATGGCGTTCTGTAAGAAGGCGACGAACTCGATCAGGTACAAGCTATACTGGCAGTTAGTCAATGCTACTCAATGATTTTCCGATCAAGAAGTAGCATACAAGATGAACATAACGATCAGGGTCTGCTTGCTCCAGATCTCCGTGATGGCGCGCACACGCTGGACACCATTCTGGAAGGTTTCCGACTCCACGGACTTGGTCTCGCCATCACTGCCAGTCTCATGGGCGTAAAAATGTGCGTCGCCGCTCTTCTCGACATCACCATCCCTCGAAGGGCGAGGAAACCCCTCTACCGGTCGCACTGCATCAGTAGCGAGCTGGTTCATGATAAGCCAAGGATCCCGAATAAAAGTGCCGAACAAGGCAGGGTACGAGATTGAGGTGCAGAAGGATGGCGATCGCAACACAAGGAAACGTTACGATTCTTAAGTATCCTACGACTCACACTCCGAAGACCGGACAAGGAAGGTCAGAATAGCAACAGCATGGAAAATTCTGCCCTCGTTTCCTACCCGGTGGCTTGGGATCATCTCCCACCGTCCAGGTATGTTGGGTATGCCCAGGAGCGTTAGCAGCGGTAAGATGATCAGATAAGATCCAATCTCGCTCTTAGAGTGAACGCTAGCTCTGCTTGGCCTGCTGCTGCCTCGCCGCAGGATTGCATCGCCAAGCACTTGGCTCGTATTGTCAATGGTGGTTGAAGGCTCAGGGTCACCAAATCGAGCAAAGTACTCCGAAGCTTGATCCTGTACGGGTCGCGAGGGGTGAGGGTCTCGCGGCGGAGACGAAGCCTCGCGGTCGCATGATTGCGTGTGTCGCCGTGCCTGTGTCTGCTAGTACCGCCGTAATGCGAAAATACCGTTTGACTGGCTATCGAGATGCTTTAATGTGATCAGCAGAGTCCTCGCGATACGTGGCGATGCGTATTTTGCTTAGAGATCTCCTCGAGTGATGCAGTTGGCTTCCGAAGTGTTGGTGGTCGCGAAGATGGCGTCGGAAGGATTGCCCCACCGCTCAAGCCACCTCTCGAGTCACGGGGACGTTTAATCTTATCAGATCATCGCACTTTTCTCGGCAGGTGTCGCTCATCAGTCTCATTGGTCTTCTAGGTGGGGCATGCGACAAGCGAGAATTGGCAAGCAGCCACCATCACATCTTTGGGCTACCTCACGTTTGCCAGCAACTCCCAAATCACCTACTTGCTCAAAATCCTCCTCGTGCGTGTTTTAATTTCCTTGTTACACGTCAAGAAAGGCTGGAACTGACTACAACCCCGTTACTAGGGCTGCGGGTTGTGCGCGGCGTGGCGTCAATCCCTCAGTACACAAGCTTTCCAGTCAACTACCAGCCAACCTAAACTACATGTAGCCTTACAGGCTATATTCTTCGTGCGCAACTTGACTGACCTATGGGAATAAGCTCAACTGCGCTCGTCAACATCAAAAGTCAAGGATCTTCAGAGTACTGCCAATTTGGAAAAGGCCGCGAAACCTCATAGATACCGACGCTTTGATGGTTTGGTTTCTTTTCTTCTGTCAATTGCTGAAATGAGATATAATGTAGGTGCAGCTGTGCTAATGTGGGGTGCGTTCTCTATTCCCATTTCCATCGACGACCACACTTGTCAACAATCAATTTAGCGGGGCTCAGGACCTTCAGCTTGACTTGATTGATTACCTCTTTTGGTTAGAAGATTACTTATATGGATTAGCGACTAGATTTGAGCAGCGGCTTGATTGTTGGCAACTGTGTCGACGACGACCTCAGTCTACAACCCGTATCACTCAACATGAGGATACCATTGATCCTATCGATAGCATGGCTGCTAACCATATCCTTCCTTGCTCAAGATGGAAGCGGACTCACTGGTTTCCCAACAAACATCCACGACCCCTTCTGTGCCATGACATGCCTCCGCTCTATCTCTCTGATGCTGAACTATTCCGGCCTGGCCGACATGGTCGGCATGATGGCTATCTGGACGTCGACGGAATTCTGGGCTAGCAATACGCCATAGTCGTACCCCATGTGACCCTGCAAATTTCGGCATCCAATGTTGATCTGCTTGCTAACCATAGGAAGTGCCGTGGGCTGCGAAGCTAAATTTACCGAAGGGTCTCGAAGGCGACATTCGCATATATCGGGGAAATTCCTGCCTGGGGATCAAACATGCGTATATTCACCTTCTCTTATTCTCCGGATGTTGAGTGTACCCTGGTGTAGCGATCTACGAGGTGCTTGTAGATGATGATACGTAGCTCAGGTGGCAAATCTAAAAAGCGCCGGTCATCGTCCCAGGCGCTAGAGAGTGAGTTTTCCGGAGTGGCTGACATAATGGCGACAGAAGAGAGGGAGTGCTGTGGGAAAGCATGTTCTGGCTACAGGAGGTTAGCTAAAGTGTCCCAAGATCGTCTTACGAAGGAGCAAGGAGAGGGATACGCCACCTGCACAGTGAAAAACGTCGAACGCGGGTAGGAGAAAGTTCGGCAACGAAACGCGCTGAACGGGGTGCCACTGATGTGAGTATCCGACTGGCTGGGCTATGCAAGAAGCCAACACGAAATAGGATGCATACTAGTCTACCACAGTGAAAGCATTGTGACAGGGTATACTATTCCTGTAAGTTGAGCCCCAAAGAGATGAATGTAAGTAAAATGCCAGTAATTTTCAAAGCTGAGAAGCTTACTTCTTCTTCAATAGAGCGTGAAAGTATGCGGACGCTAGAATTGCGGATTAATATGTCGCCACAGCAAATCGAGTACCGACGGCTTGCTCAGCCCTCGTGACATGTTTGCGGCTCGTAAACAAGCGGACTATGATCGCTTAACGAAACGTGATTGCATAGAAGAGCAAGTCCATGATCTGGTAAATTTATTTGATAAAATTAGGCTACATATCGACACTTGAATTCGTGGCAATTAAAGGGTCGCCCGGCCAGACATGTACATAGAAAGTGGCAGGGGGGTTTCACTGCGCTCAGTTCGCACATCGCTTTAGTCCTTGTCTAAGCCCATCTTAAAACAACTAGACTCCTGCGTGTAGCCAGCTCAGTGGTCATGTAAAACGAAATATCGCCGCCCAAACTCCAATGCGCACAATCTTCCCTTTAGTCTTCTCAAATGAGGCGATCGTGCTTCGCTGGGTCGTGATTCGGATCATGGGGGCCGTACCCACTACCCAGGCCCCTCATAGCCCTGGGGATGCGGTCCATGAATCTTCCAGTAGTCGCACGTGTTTGAGCAACGGTATATTGGCGGGCTGTTCTTGTCAATTCTTTAGGCTACGATCAATTAAAGGAAGACGGATAAGACAGCGAGCTTGCGGGATGAAGACGTATAAGTCGAGGATTACGTCTGCAGCGTAGTCAGTATTATTCAACCATTGAGAGTATATGCATAGGACATCGGTATACACTGGAACACATACAAGTGCGTGAATAAAACTCAACTATACACTCGAAGCAGACATAAGCGAACGCCGAGAAGGAACGACACAGATATCACCATGTAAGTCCAAACTTGTAGAGAATTAATCATGATAATTGATGCTTGGAGTCTGAATCGAGATACAGTTGGAATGGTTCGTGTACACCATATTTGAAGGCTCGCGACGTCCCAAGGTCGTGGTGCGTGGAACACCTTCCATTGTCTGGCTCTAGTGGAAAGAACTCGCACGTTATACTAACGCAAGAACTCTTAGATTTTAATATGTGGAGCTCATCGTGTTTGATGTGCATCCCGATGATGTATCAACGCTCGCAGTAATAGCTGTGAACAAAGCCATGGTGTTTAGGCTGATCGCTGGATTGCGTCGTGAACTGTACTGGATGCCGGATCGCCATCGTCAGCGAGGCCTGGAAGCCGTCGCAAGATTTTCGACCTCTGTTCTGTATTGAATGATGCTCCGAAGACATGCAGCCTGTACTACGAGGTTCGGAAGTTGAATGCGCGGATGCCGAACAAACCGAGTTAGTTGCAACGGGGGCTCTGGCCGGAGGTTGGCATCAAGCATGCAGGAGATGAATAGATGTCTCGTTGTAAAAAAACCCTGGTTTGAAGTCGTGGAAAGTAGCCGAATTTGAAATGTCAGAGAGTGCGCGATTGAGGAGGACGCTGTTAGACCAGGCAGAGGAGTCAAGGGCATCACGACGTCGCCACTAGCTTCGCGCACAACTACGTCGCAGTGTTAGTGGCATTATTGCTGGAAACCTAATACTAGACAGGGCTAGATGCCTTCGCAGAGTTCTCAGGTTGGCCTGTTGGATCGCAAAAAACCTGGGAGACATTCCAGCTGCTAGGTACACGCGTACACGGGCGGGTATTACAGCCATCGCACAAGTTCGCGGCAATGGGAGCGAAGGCCGTCGTCAGAGACTCGCAATGAGTTGATGCGGCGAATATTATCGATTGTCGTGTTCCGGGCGACCTTCTTTCATGCGTTGCTGTGGTGTGTGTAAGAATGTTTGTGACTGGTGTCCGACTGTTGGGGGTTTGCCGATCAGCCCCTGACTAATCTGCGCAGCCACCATGAGCTTTGAGAGAACACCACTCGAAGGCAACGGATACTGTAAAACATACTAGGATGTTTCTTTTTCGATCAATTTCTTCGTCGCGATTTTTTTGGGCACGTAGCAGCCCTCCGCTCTACTAAGATAACGTTCATCTCCTCCGAACATCTCGTCCCATTGTACCACGCCACTAGCTCTCCAAGACTGCTGTTCCAAACCGTTCGCCGAAATACTGAATGTGTTGTGGGGTAGTCAGCCAGCCCCGCTGTGCGATGAATTATGCACCACTGTCTAACCGCGCCGCCCAGGATGTACAACGTCACCTTTCTCCGAAGCTTTCGCCGCGGTTATTCCTGTCTTTATTAATCATACAAATACACAGTTCTTCATCAAATCATCCGGTATGGTGTATCGGCTAGCATCCGTCGCTTTCATACTCCATGATAGCTTCCGACGAGAGCCGGGTTCGATTCCCGGTACCGGAATACCTTCTTTTTGCTGTTCTGGGTGGTGTGTTGCTGAGGCGGTTATGGCGTAGTTTTTCGGCTAGTGGACGAATTAAAACACTAGAGCTACACAAGAATTGCTATGAACTCTCTTTTTGCTGCTGCATCTTGCTGAAATAGTATTATTGGGTTTGTTTCGGTGCAGGATAGATACCTCACTGTCGCTGGTCTTCTCACACGCACTTCACACATTTGCAAATTCTTTTGTGACGCAAGCCCACACGTGGCTGCTAATTTGCGAACTCTTGTCCTGCACAAACATCTGCACCTCCCTTTAGTTTATCACTGCGATATTTGCTGAAGCTGTCGAAGATGGGACGAGAATTGACGCGATGCCAAAAGCGGAAAGGTTCGCCACGTGAGCGCGCGACGGGACGCGCCTGAGGCTAATTCAACCCCCCGCATGCACTACCGTCGCACGTCGCGTCACTGCTATGGCGCCACCAACTTCCGTCCCAAAAGACTCAAGAGCATCTTCAACCCTCAATGGTCACTCGGCGCCCTCTGCAGCGCTCGAGGCAGTAGGCACCCGCCCGCAACGCTCGCAACGGCGGCCGACGAAACAGGCGTCGTATGAGCTGGCCAACCACGCCAAGGCCTACCTCGAAGGCGGCCAGTGTATGCGACACCATATGTGTGACTAATTCACGCTTACATGATGCAGACGCCAGCGGATACGACTTCCTCTACAGCCTCCTCGCCGCCGGCACCTCCATCTCGACGCCCGCCCAGCCCTACATCGGCTTCCTCGCGCCGCCGGCATACATCGCTTTCGCCTCTTCGTTAGTCGCAGATCCCAAGTTCACGACGAAGGCGCGGTGGCAAGATGCGGTAAAGGGCCCCGATGCCGCTCTGCGATACCTGCGATGCGTGCACACCACCATAGACGGCCCCGCATACCCCGCCATCAGAAAGGCTTTCACCTTCCCCGAAGAGCGCACTCGGAAGCGTGTGCTTGGGCTTGGCGATGACATCGAGCGCATAGCGGGCGAGAATGCGAACGAGAGGAGCCTGTGGTACCGCGCCGATGACTTTTGGCACATCGTGGGCTGGGCCTTCAACTGCTCGATAGCGCACAAGAAGCGATGGGGCCGATGGAAACTGTGGCTTAGCAATATGCTGGACTTCCTGGAGGCTGACTGGGACGTCTGTGTCAGGCAAAGCAAAGAAGACGAGGCGAATCGGGAGGCGATACTACGGGACAGCATCCTCTGGCACTACATTGCCGGTGGCGCAGGGTCTGCGAATCGCGGAAAGCGGCGCCGCATAGTCAAGGCTATCCTCGCCACAGCGACGCCTGACTCGCGCAAGGAATACCCGGAGATTTGGGAGAAAGAGACGATCGAGCTCAAGCGGAAGAAGAAAGAAGAGCAGCCTCTGGGCGAGGTCGACTTCGAAACTGGCGAGCTGGGCGACTACGATAGCGATGAGGAGACGCAGGATGCCTTGGAAGATACAGGCAGGAGCTCTCCAACTAAAAGTGACGATGGTATCACGGACCTGCATCAGGCCGTTCAAAGACTCGGCGGAAAGGACGCCATTGAGCTGCGACAACGGCTGATAGCATTGGTATGTTCCTCCCTCATATCCCCAACACGCCTGCTAACAGTGAACAGCTCGCTCTAGTAGCCCAGGCCTTGCCGAGCTTCTTCACCACGCTCAGTGACTTCTTCGACAATATACTCGAGGACTTCATACACCTCCCGACCATCATGTTTAAGGTGCTCCTCTCCACACTAAGGATGCCCGGTCTGTTTCAGGTCGCCTTCAACACCAACCTCCTGCTTCCACTCGTAAGCGGCAATGTACCCGACTACTTCAAATACGAGCCCACGCAGGAGCAATTCGAATCGGACTTACTCCCATGCAAGGGCACAACGCAGAGTTACGCTGCAAACGCCAAGATCTCACTTATTCTCGAGCAAATATTCGTGTACATGATAAGTGTGGACGCCCTCACCCCAACCAATACACTCCGTCAGGCGATGGAGGACGGTATTGGCGCGAGACTGAGTGTCCTCGGTTCTGGCAGGAGTAAGAAAGGGAATGTGCAAGAGGAAGAACAGGCACACGAGCTGATGGACGCGTGTTCGGAAAGGCTACTAGGTTTGCTGGAAGTCCTGGAGATCGTCGCAGGCAAGCCGGCGCAACCATTGAACAGGAAGAGCAAAGTTGGCGCAGGCGCAGGTTCAGCGTTACTTTCTTTTGGTTCGGGTTCTTCGATTTCCTCTGCCCCTGACAGCGACACTGAGTGATAACTGACTATTTCTTATGTACAGGGAAAGAGTCGAGGTCGGGAAAGATGCGGGTTGGTTGATCTGTATAGGTCGTCTTCCTCATAAAAGCCTGCCTAATGTAATTTTCGAAATCTCCCTGCCATCATGTATCTTTGTCGCATTCTCTATGATACCTTGTCAAACCCCAAGTCAACTTCACGTCGCTTCATGTAGCCGTCACGCTCACCTTTCACGAGCCTACTGCGAGTTGCAACCCCTTTTCACCTCTCAGGCTCCCCAATTTCATATCGCAGTGTGCACTTCATACTACTAATTGTGCTAACATCGCTGTCGTAATCCTCAAGTTCCAGGCTCCCTAGATTTCCTGATTAACGATGTTGGATGGGCTTGCGTGCCTCCAAAAGTGGACGATTCTGCGTCCGAAAATGGAGGCCTCTAAGCCAGCATTTCTTGGCATCGGAAAATCTTAGATCCGTGCTCAGTCTCCGCCTATTACATAACCACCTCATTCAGCGTTAGTTATAAAAGACTCACTGTGTTGTGGTTTTATTACATTCTTAACCTCTCAGACACTCAACCCCTATTTTTCTCCTGCTTTTACCTGTGCACAATGCTGCTGCTGCACACTAGTCTGGTACTCTGCTATTACTATGCCATTTCTCATCACAAGCACAAAGGGACCATATACATATGCAATTGTAATGGGCCAGGCCCTGGAGATATTGGCAAGGCCTAGACATTAGTGCTGTATCTTGGGCTATACTTAACTTTATGAACTAATTCCTACAGCATCTGAAAGGCAGAGAGGTGGCCAATTACCACCTTTAATTTCAGCAATTTCCTACTGCTGCATCACCTCAAAGTTGGAAGGGGAAGACCTAGACATGGATAGGATCTGTAATGGGCCAGGCCCTGGAGATCTTGGCTAGGCCTAGACATGGATGGGATCCGTCTATTCCTTTCTTGTTTAGCTTGTAAATAAGCAAAGCACACTGAAAACTCGTCAGTGTTCCTCCATAGCTCTCTATCAATTCGACCTTGTTACCAGGCAACTGCATACTTTGCGTGACCCTTACAGTTACCGTTACATAGCCGCACCTATCCAAGCCTCCATCCACAATACTTCATCCCCAATCTATCACCCACCACACTTATCTATACTCTATCAACGAGCACCGCTTCAACGCTATCAACTACCTCATTGTTGCTACTATGCCACCAAAAAGATCACGCGTTAATCCACCAAACGCAACTGCTTCAAAGCGCCTGAAAGTTGCGCCGCGTCATTGCAGTACTACCAGCCAGCCTGTGCTAGTTGATACCCAGCCATTGTCTCCTCCATCTCTACCTGCGCCTCCGCCTGCGCCTCCGCTGTTGCCACGTCAGGCCCTTGTTGCCGCGTTGCAGGCGCCAAACTTTGAAGCGACCCTCCGTCAGTCGCGCGCCGAAGACACCATCCTCCTACCTATTGAGGGCAGCAAGCAGGGCACCATAGCAGCTTCAGAAGCAGCTGAGGACGCAGCTGAGGACGCAGCCGCCCGCAACTTTCGATGGGTAGAGGACAATTATGATAGCTTTGATTGGAGTCGTTACCCAAGGCACTGCAAGCCGCCTACAACTCTATCAAGCCGAGCAAGCTGGGTCTATGGCCATGGCTATTGTATTGCGCTAAAGAGCGACCTGTCGAGGATCACGTGGATCTGCCACTATTGCTACAAGCATAAGCACACCCTCTTTGGGCGCGGTGTACTTGACGTCACGGCGTCGCCCTCATTGCCAGGGCGTCATCTCCAGGACAACAAGAAGGGCCATGGCATGCTACCTCCCACAAAGGGAGACACCGTTGCCCCGCGCAAAGAGACGCTCCTTGAACGCGCGCTCAAAAAGGGCTGCTCCCAGGCCGTTGCCAACAAACTCAGCAGCTTCAAAGTAGAGGAGTTTAGGCTTGCAGCTGTCACGTGGCTCGTCGACAACAACCTCCCACTGTCGCAGTTTGAAGCGCCCTCTTTTCGCACAATGATACAATTAGCCAGTGTACAGGCAGAGCGAGCTCTGTGGGCATCCCACAATAGCGTCTCCCGATACGTTATACAACTGTACCACTACCTAAAGCCTAAGGTTGTTGCAGAACTGTCACAATCAATGAGCAAGATTCACATTAGCTTTGACGGATGGACGACAAAGGGCGGTAAGCGCGGGTACTTAGGTATTGTTGCCCACTACGTTGACCGCCACGGCAACGTCAAGGACCTGCCTATTGCGCTCCCACAACTGACAGGCGCCCACTCTGGCGAGGCCATGGCTGAGGTTGTGATGGAGATATTTAGGCAGTTTGAAATTACTGTGGGCAAGCTTGGTTACTTTGTCCTTGATAACGCCTTCAACAACAACACCACAATCACGGAACTTGCCTTACAGATGGGCTTTGACGCTACTGAGCGTCGCCTCCGCTGCGGCCCTCACACAATCAACCTCATTGGCCAGATGCTGCTCTGGGGCGAGGAGAAGCAGTCGTACAATAACAATGAGAGTGAGAACAGTAATGAGGCGGAGAACATGGCTACTTGGCGTGGCAATGGGCCACTAGGTGTGCTTCTTGCAATCATAAGCTACATCAAAACACCGCAGTAGCATGCGCTTTTTAACAAGTATCAACGCCTTGCCCACAACGACCTACCTGCCGGCGCGCCAGCAGAGCGGCGCACAATACTCGAGCTAGTTAAGCCAGTTGTTACTCGCTGG